CGCATATACAGGGTTTGAGCCGGACTCAGGAGGAGATCGGCATTTCCGGAAAATAAACCCCCCTTTTTAAGGTAAGCTGTGAGGGATGTAAGGAGCAAAGGGCCCCACATTCTGCTTCAAGAAACAGATCCCCGGATCGGTATAACCGACGTTTTCTGATTTTTTTGTTTATTTTTTTTTGATTTTTTGATTTTTTGTTTGTGATGTTTTGCTTTGATTTTTTTTTTTGATTTTTTTTTTTTGTTGATTTTTTTGACTGATTCTTTGTTTGTCTTATTCTACTTCTTGTCTCTTCCATCTCGTTTTTATGCGCCTTCCCGCGGACCCACCCGTCCGTTCCTCCCTAACTCAGGGTTGAACTCATGAGCCTCCCCCTTTTTTACCAAATCGCTCTAAGGGGATCCGCTCTGTATAACACATGGGACGTAGCCATTGGAACACGACCGCCGCGGGGTCGCTTTTTCTGTAGGAACCCAGGTTTTTACTGACAAAGTGTAGGTAGACGAATATAGGACCACATTCCATTAGATAATGACGAACTTCAGCTTCTCGGATCCCATCAAAAAGAGAGGGGGAACCGCGCGAGATTGCCCATGTTGTGCCCTCTTCTCTTCTTTTCTCTTCTCCCCTACCGTTTTCCCTTTCTGTTGTTTTCATATATACGTGTACTCCTGCCAATTATAGCATGCACATTGTTAGTCTGTCCTATATACGATTGACTGTACTTCTTCTACGGAGCGGAGCTTGCGTGGCAAKGTGACTGTTCGGCTATGGCGGAYTGGGACTTCACGACYGGAGCGGAGGAGGACCTTYYGATAACGYCGGAACCCGASGAGGTTTTCGCGGCGGAAGAAGCGGTACACGGTCCTCTATCTCCCTACTCGTATGGTTGTTTGGGGATTGGCTGTATGTGTCTGTCTGTGCAGTGGATGCGCTTTTTGCAGGAACATAACCCCTCTAATGAGCCGGTTGAGTGGCAACGACGAAAAAGCTTTTAGGGGAGCCACACCTCTCCTGCGGCGCTGAGCATCCCATGAAGTGCAAACCRAGCCCCCGCYTGCTTTCTCCYAGACGTTCTGCCATTTCGGACTTCGCCGCCCACCAGTTTCACATAGCTTCTCTAGTTTCTATCGAAGTAACTCYGAGTTCACTCTTCAGTGTTTCTTTGTAATCAAGACTCTGGATMGCAGGATACYCTGTTGGTTGTAATCGACTATTTGGCTCTATCTTCCTTGTTTTGTACCGCCAGGATTTGACGTGCTCCCGCATCTTTACTTTCTCTCCTTCTGACTCTCWCAGTCTTTGCTCACTATTGGCATGTTGGAATAGCATGTTGCCTCTGTCATTAACTGTCTTCTTTATATGTATGTATGCTCTGCCTACTTTACTATTCGGGTTTGGATTTGTGTACATGATCTTTTCTATTGATGTGTATTCAATACCTATGGATGACACCGCTTCGTCATTCCTGCATTATTGAGGGTTATCTAGCTTGTTGGCTGTTGGACACGGTATGATTGGGACATGACCGTACTTGGCGTATCACCGTAATGGTGGAGTGCATGACGAAGTTCGTCGTGGGATCATATGCAAGCACACACATGGGGGATTTTTTCCCTCTAGCTACTGCCGAAGGGTTGACTCCCTTGGCTACGCCTTGGAGACGGATCAGACCAATGGTCGATTACTATAGTAAGTCCACCTGGTTGCTTTGATAAATCCACTCTATATGTGAATGGGATGACGTACTTACCCTGATGCTTTTTTGCTCTGTATGGTTGCATCTGTGGGGTACGAATTGTTTTATGGATTGGGATGAGTTATGCCTCTATGCTTGCTCTCCTTCCTTCTTACCTTCTGTCCCTTTCCCTATCCCTTTGTATATCGCATGGGCTAATCCTGACCAGGAACCCCAACATGACAAGGATCTGGCAGGCGATTGGTGGGCGGAAACCATCGATAGGAATCCCTTTCTCGCGGATCTGGGTCCATACTCTAAACTGACCCAATCCCTCATCAACGTTATCCACCCTTCGGTAACAACTATGGTCGGCCAAAAGGTTACGGAAGGACTGTTTCCCMTCATCACCGAGACCCTTCTTTTCAATGATTGGGCGGATCTAGCTTGGACCTATGAGCATGAGAGACACCGCCTGGACCTCATCCTTAATGGACATATTACTAAGGCGGAGGAAAAAAAGAGAAGTGCAATGAAGGAACGGGATGGGCTGGCAGAGAGAACCGCTAAACTTGAAGAACTCTGAAAAGGATCTGGGATGTTGAGAGGGGTTCGACGATGGAGGGCAATAAGGTGGATAGGGATGGCTATGACCCAGCGCTCATGGGGATCATGGGGGATGAGGAAGAAGAGCTGAGACGGCTGCTGGACAACCAGCCCCCACCGCCTCCTCCACCAGGGGGTGAAGGGATGGACGGTGGACGAAACAGGAACAATGGTTTTGTCCCTATAGCTTCAGCCCAGTGGGTAGAGGAGAAAGCCAGACGACAACAGGATAGGGTCTGGGTGCAGGGTGGCTTCAATCATCTGGCCCCGATCAACATCAAGGGTTGGAAGTTCCTCGCTGATCTTTCAAAGAGCGAGGTTGAGGAGTGTCGAAGGAAAGCTCTGACCGGAATTTTGGACTATGCTAACAACACCCCGCACTGTGGCGGAAAACTTACCTTCCCTACGCTAAGTGAACTGGACCCCACTAAGTGCGTCTACGCTAACCCTGTGGTCATGCAGAAGATGATTACTTCGTCTCTTAGCCTTGATATCAAGAATCTACGCAAGCTTTGGAATGTGGGGCGTTCGTACCTAAAGTGCAGATGTGGGTTTAGGAATGCTCGTACATGTAATGGTGGTCCGATCTGGTTCGACCATGCAATCTGGTTCCTCCTGGCGAAGCTAGAGATTGTGAAACCAGAAGCTGGCTCAAACCGGGTTAGGATCGCCTTCCTCCTCCATCACCTGAGGAATTCCTGGAGGGAGCTTGCAAAAGCCTCCGTCACATTCATATGGATGCGCGAGGTGATGCTGACAGTGCTACGTAATCTCGAACGCAACCCGGAGCTGATGATTGTGGATGCCCTCACCGGGAGCACGTTCAAAACCCATGCCTGCCCAAAAATCCTGGCCAACCTGATCCTCCCCACGCGGATCACCTCGGGAATTCCTGCTCCGCAGCTTCCGAACCCCAAGAAAAGGAAGAATAGATCCCCCATGGGGGCTAAGAACAAAAGGGTCAACTCGGCATCTCCCCGACAGCAGACGTTGCTGAATTCGTTCAGAATCGCAGCATCTCCTGTCAGTGCCTCTTCTTCAAGCCCCGCTAGTACGGCCAGCAGTCAACGATCTGCGATCGTATCTAATGGCCAGGCAAGCGGCGCCACGGGAACGAGCGGCTTGTCCAGGAAACGCAAGCACCAGCCCTGAGTAGCGCAACGAACAGCTTGGGTAGTTTAGGGATATATATATATATATATATATACATACGTACATACACACACATATATATATATATATATACACATACATATATAACAATATATATATATACACATACATATATATCGATCTATATGTGTACGTATACATATATGTCTGTTTGTGACGATATATGTATATATATCTATATATGTTGGTTTACACACGCTCATGCACTCTCTCTCTCTCTCTCTCTCTCTCTCTCTCTCTCTCTCTCTCTCTCTCTCTCTCTCTCTCTCTC